AGCGCTACCAGTAGCACCAACCAGCTCTGCCAGCAACCAGAAATGGTAGCCAACAGTACAGAGTTTTGGCGCTTTGGTTCGGCACTCAAATGAAAGAGTTTTGAGTAGAAATTTTTACTGGAGATAGGTCTTAGGGGAAGTGTTTTCCCGACCAAGTTTCATGATTTTTCTCAATTTGTGGAATTTATGAAAAATCATTATGACTCCTCGGACATGTGTGATGTTTCCTTCTGCCAGATGGAAAATGGCTTAACAAGCATACATAATGGGGTATGGTGTGCTACCTACCTACCTCCCCGCCTAAACTGGGCTTGAAGTGAGCAACCTTGGGGCAACTCAAGGGCGGGCTTTAGGCATCCAGAGGGGTGTCTAGAGTCTCCATATGGGTTTGGGAGCCCCGTGGACGGTGCAATGATGTAGGCATTGCGCGACCTTCCCGGGTGAGAGGTCCGCTACGTTGTTTCCATTATGCCACGCAATATGGTATCTTTGGGACTCGTTTTGGACCGAATGGGCTATCGAGGCACCACTAAAGGCCTTGTGTGCCAACTCTAGTGCTTGGTTTGGGTTCAACCTTGCACGAGGGGATCCCGTGGCTTAAGCTAAGCGGTTGGAAGGCGACACCGCATATGTGGGCTATCGAATGAAGGCATCAAGCTATGCAACGACTACGTCCATTGAGGGACTACATTATGCTACGAGCAAGCTACGGATTGAGACATCGCCTTACTCATGCTACGCGTTGGTGCAACGCTAAGGTGCGCAATGGCCTTAGGTGGAATCTAGCACACGTGTTGGCACGAAGACTACGCCGTGGGCAAGAGATTGACCCTCGGTGGCTTGTGGGCTTCGCATGACCAAGTGGCCATCTAATATGCATCTATTGAGGCATGCTAGACCCTACGACACTTTGAGATGCTATTCAAGACCCAACATGCAACGTTGGCTTGTCGGCTAAGTTGAGGACCTTTGCTAGCACCTTGTTGTGTGGCTAGGCACCTTGATGACATAAATCTAAGTTGGGCGAGCACCTTGCTTGAGGTAAGCTTGGCGCTATGAAGCGACTTATGCCGTGCTTGGTGCACTTGAGGCGTCAGGCCTACTTGTGGCATCCGGGTGAAGATGGAGCTTCCTTGTGAAGTTGTTTTGCTTGACAAAGCATTGGGCCTAATGTTCAAACGGGTGAGATCATCAACACTCGATTTGTCAGCGAGCTATGGCGGGCTTAAACTTGGTGGAGTTTGAGCGCCACATGGGCAAAAATTGATCCGCTGCGCCTCTAAAGGAGTCGGCCTGTGACACATAGTTTACTTAGCCGTGCCGTCCTTTGCTTGCTTTTCTCCTTGTCCTTGGTTGTGGTGGCCTTTGCTTTGGTTTCCTTGGCCCTTACCCATGATGGCCTTGGTCTTGATTTTCTTGCCCTTGGTGACCTCGGCCTTGCTGTTGTCGTTGGGCCTGGGCCTTGGCCTTAACAAAGATCAGAAGTTTTCTTGCCCTTTGTGTGATGGATGGGGGTATACTTGAGGTTGAGAAATATGATAGCTTGAGTTATGTTATGTGGAGTTTTTCTAGAGATGAGAAGTTTGGAAAAGGACACACAATTATAGAATTAAGCGAAGATCAAGTAAATATAAGAAACAAATAGGATAGTTGTGACAACTTGAGTTAAAACTCAACTCTCTAATGACCTTTAGACCTAACTGAATTTTTGTAGTTGAATATTTCGCTCTACACTAGGTTAGTTGACTTGATTAATTGTTAAGGGTTGATTTTTTGAGGTTCTCCTCACACCGTATATTTTGGGTGTTTACACATGTTGATTTAGTTTCAGGGTGCCTCGAGGGCATAGTTTGGGAATCGAGTGATTAAACTAGATTTGTCAATGATGAGGTGAGCCACAGGTGGGTAAGTGCGGTCACACTTTGCGAGGTGCGACCACAGGTATGTGAGCAGGAGTGTGGTGTGTCACGTGGCTTAAAGTATGTATATATATATATATATATATCCTTTCTTATACTTTCTCTCAAAATACATGAATTAAAACAAAATAGAATTAGTATAGGGCTTCCCTTTCTACACAATTTAATTACTCTCTTTCTTGAAAACTTCTTTGCACAAATTGGGTAAAAAAATAAGCTTGTAGAGCAAGGTTGTATTCAAATCAAGAGTACATTTGTAGAATTTGTCTTGCTTCTTCTTAAGGTAGGAATTATCTTGCTTTTAATGTATAATTTGAGTGGTTAACCTATGGTACTTTGTTGTATAAATATATAGTATTTTGTTATATAATCCACGAATTCAAATAGTTTCTTTGTGTTGAAATCTTGCACGTGGAGAATTTCATCTTAGTGTATCTTTGTACCCTAAATTTATAAGCTCATATTCTGTAATGCTTGTAATGTGTAGAACAATAATTGATTTCCTAACTTTAGCTGCTCCTCAATTTAATGGAACCAATTGCAAGAAAGTGTGCTAATATTATTGAAAACAAATTATAATAATTTTGCATAAAGAACTGTAACCTCTTGTGACCCTTGAATTGTTAAAAATGCAAGTTGAGAAGAATTTTAATTGATTAAAGGATTCGTTAATTAATTTGAATCGTTCTCTTTATAAAAAGTCTAATTATAATGAGTTCGGATAGTGTATATTGTTAGGAAAAATTAGTAAAATATTCCTCTCCAACTTTGTGTAATAGGAGAGTCCCAAGATATATTTTTTTAATTTTATTAGTTAGGGTCCCTCAACATTTTCACAGAGAAAATTCGACTCAAATTTTTTTTGAACAACTCAGAGAAGTTTCACCCGACTCAGAGAAATTTCGGTCTCGGCTCAAAGAAATTTTGAAATTTCTCTTAGTTGGACAAAATTTCTCTAAGTCGATTTTTTTCTATAGAAATGTTGAGGGAGTTTAACTATTATGGGAATATTGTATGTTCTTTACATAATAAAATCTTAAAATTAGGGCCCTTAAGAACAATTCCCATATTGTTATTAATTATAATTACAAAAAAAAAGATATATTTTTTTTTACAGGATTTGACCTTTATAATAAAATAAATCTTGAGTTTTTAATTTTATCAATTTAAAATCTAATCTTTTGATTTAGTTTTTAATCTAAATCACATTTCTATTTTCGCTAAGTAAAACTAATTAAAAAGAAAAAGATATTTTACTTATTAAACTCAATAAAAAATAATATTTTAGATATTTTATGTATAGTTATATTGAGTTTAATGGCTAAAATACTAAATTTCTGTTGATTTTACATGTCAGAAATAGATAAATAGTTTAGATTAAAAATAAATTAAAAGATTAAATTTTAAATTGATAAAAAACATTCAGGCTAATTTTATTATAAGAGATAAATCCTAGAGTGTTTCTATTTTTATTTTTAATTATTCCAAAATAATAATGATTGATAACCAAAAAAAATAAAAGAGAAGAAGAAGACGATGATTAATAAGAAAAGAAAATCATTCAGTGTGTTTGAGTTTTTTGAATTAAGTTTTTTAAAAATTGAATTTTTTGATTTTCGTATTTTTTTATTTTTAGTGAATATTTTTACAATTTTAAACATTTTTTTTACTTTTTTAGATGTACCTTACTTAGATGTATATAAAAAGTAAAAAATTTGTGAACAAATATTTTTAAAAATTAATAAATACATAAAAATATAAAATATGTACTGAATTCTCATATATTTTTTTATATTTTTAGTATTTAGTGAATTTTTAAATGGTTTTTTTTAATTTTTTTTTTTTACTTTTTAGGTATATGTATGTTAGGTATGTTTAAAAATTAAAAAAAAAAAATTGTTTAAAATATTAAAAAAATTCATTAAAAATAAAAAAAAATACGAAAAATAAAAAAGTAAAATTTTTCTAAAAGTGTTTTTGAAAACTAACATCAAACAAGTTGAATGTAATTTTTTATTTTTTTCAACCTTTTGTCTAGGGATTTTTACGGGCTAATCCTATTTTCAATGGTATATCTATCAGCTCTCCTATTAAGACATTTTCACTATGTATTTCACTAAAAGTAAAATTTTACTCTGTATAAAAGTAAAATTTTACTCTGAAAAATAAGTAAACTGTAAGACTCTGAATCTAAAAGTAAAATTTTACTCTGTATGAAAGTAAAATTTTACTCTGAATGAGAGTAAAATTTTACACTTTGAAACTAAAAGTAAAATTTTTCTCTGTATAAAAGTAAAATTTTACTCTGAAAAATAAGTAAACTGTAAGACTCTGAAGCTAAAAGTAAAATTTTACTCTGTATAAAAGTAAAATTTTACTCTGGTTCTGTCAAATGAAAAAAACAGAGCAATAGAACCAGAGTAAAATTTTACTATGGTTTTATCAAATGAAATTTGATGTTTACTCTGAAAAATCGATGGAACTTTGAGGTTTGAGCTTTGAATCAGGCCTATAATCCTTGAATCAATCGATGTTTACTTTGAAAAACATTGAATCATGCCTATAATCCTTGAATCAGGCCTATAATCTGAAAATTTTAGAGAAATCTCATTTTTTCATACCCCGGTTCTTCAGATTTTTCAAATTTTTAAAACTTTGAGCTTTCAAAAATCTATATATTCGAATTCAAATCTCAAAACACTGGAGGAAGCTAGGATTAGAAGAGAGAGACGAGATAGAAGATGAACAGTTGAAGGAGAGTTGAAGGAGGAGAGTTGAGAAGATGCAGAGAGAGATCGTCGGAGCTTAGGAATGACACAGCTCCGGCCATGGAGGAAGCTAGGGTTAGAAGTGAGAGACGAGAGAGAAGATAAATTTTGTATCTGGATTGTGTATATGTGAGGGTATAATAGTCTGATAAAATATTTAAATAATAAATTTTGTCATTTATGCAAGATTTTATAATTATGAGGGGGTTTAGAAAGTATAATTTTTTTCTTAGTCCTTCTAACAATGAAAGAAAGGTAAAAGGGTTTATAGCCAAATTTTCCAAAAATTCAAAAAAGCACGTACCGTACTTTTGTGTTTACAAGCCAAAGTTCTAGCACAAGAAAGTCGAAGTATATATTTTATTCTATACAGATCCATTTTGCAAGTTCGTTATTACGAGTAGTTCCTACAAAGGATCAGACTAATGACGTATACAATACTTGAATTCTCGATGTAGATGCTACATAGTTGGTTGAATGATAAGGAGAAAAAAAAAATTGGGTCAAATGAAAATGCCATTTTGGAGTTTTATCAACAATTTGCTTGTGTAGGCGGGAATCCGGTATTTTCTGAATGAAAGAGCTCGCTTTGACCGTTAAGAGTAGGTAATCCCTTCCCTGTCTTTGTTTCTATTGCATTCTATCTCATCGTATCACATTCTGTTCTGCGATATTTGAGAATCACCGTCAATACCTCGGTGTAGGTCCGGGATAATCCTTTATTCCATAGCCTGGGGCTATTTACAACAAGCCAATTAAGAATTCCCAGATGTACTAGCAACGAAAAATAAAAAAATAGAATTTTCTGAAAAATATCTTTTGATATTCTGTCCTCACATTTATCCATTAAAAAAAAAAAAAAAAAAATTTTCTGATCAGTTTAGATGCTCTTACGGGGTTTACTCTTTCGCCGAGCTCTGCTTCTCCCTTCTTTCTTTGTAATTGTATCCCCCACAAACGACGACCTTGGCAATTCTTTCTTCTCATCATCATCTTCTTCTTCCTCTTCTCTCATCTTAACTTTCTTCGGTTCATTTTCTTCTTTAATCTCATCTTCACTTTCAGTCTTCTCAACTATTTTGCGAGGTCTACCCCTTTTTCTAGGAGTATGAGTCTGCTGTTGCTGTTGCTGTTGCTGTTGCTGTTGCTTTGGTTGTTCTTGTTCTGCAACTATTATTGATGATGATGATGATTCTGCTATTACTAGTACTGATAGCTCCTTTGTTTTCTTTGCTATCTTCTTCCTACCCATCATTGATTCAATTCAACAAAAATACCCAGAAACTGTAAGAAACTCTTTGCCAAAAATCAAAAGCTTTTTTTTCTATGGGTTTTCACTTTTCTTTGTGTTCTTATTGATCCAATCCATATATATCAATCCAAAGACATCCTTTAATATTTAATATAACCCACAAAACTTTCTTACTCAGTAGAAAAAGCGAAAACAAGTAGTAGATTACAACTCTGTCTCTCTCTGTCTCTCTCTCACACACACACACACACATCTTTTACCAATATCCATGGTCCCAAACGACCCATCAAAATCAAAGCCTAATTATAAAATCAACAATAATACTTTAAAAATATTAAGGCCACAAAAGCCATCAAGAATATCTCACCTTTTCTCTTTGACTACTTATCCATCCATCCATCCATCCATCTGTACATATACGTGTATATATATATATATAATATGCATGTATGTACGTACACACATTAACCTATGTACGTACACACATTAACCTATTTGTTGTAGTGCTGCTGCTCTGCAAGAGAATACACAGAATAAAATTAGGGTGGAATGGAAAGTGAAAAAGCCAGTAAAAGAAGAAGAAACAAGAGCAACTCTTTTGTCAAACTAGTCTACCTCTCTCTAGCACAGCATAGCATAGGATAGTCCAAAATGTCACTCAATCTGCTAAAATAATCTCCAATTTAAAATTTATAATTCATTTTTAAAATTGTTCCACTCCGTTATAGTTAATATATATATATATTTATTTATTTCTAATAAAATATCAAAGTACAAAAAATTAATTATATTTTACCTCTATATAATTTAATTTAAAAATACATTAATTCTTTATAATTTAAAAATATACACCTAACCTTTTTATGGGTGATTATTCAGTACTTCCGGAATATGGACACGTGGTGCTCCATAAGGTTTTGATTGGTGGAGAGTCACAAGGGCCCACGATTTATGTTGGATATGAGGGGACAACATGGGGCTAACTAATTGTTAATTGGTTTAGAGTATGGACACGTGATGCTCCAGGAGTATTGAATAATTTCTCCCTTTTTATAATTTGGAGTGAAGCGTAAAGTAATGAAGTCTATCCACATTAACTGTCTGTTACACGGGCTGAATTAAGTGCGTGAGACAGGCATTTGCTCAAATAGATTCATAAAATGACAATTTAACCTTCTTTCTCTCTCTCTCTCCCTCCTTTTCTTCTCCGTCCCTTTTGATCACTGTATTGCAGCATTACTGACCCACCCACTCTACCCTTCTCTTGTTTTTCTTCTTGTCACTACCCACTCTCTTTTCTCTTATTTTTTTTTTTCTCTCTTTTACCATTATTTTTTTTTTTTTCTCTCTTTTACCAGGGCTGCTGTGTATGTATTTATATATTAGTGGGTCGTGTCGGGTCTTTTTTCCCCCTATAGTTTGGCTGGGACAGCCATGGCTGCTTCTAAAAAAAATAAAGGAAAAGGACAGAAATCGTTGGTAATGTAGTGGAAAAAAAAATTGATGGATAATTTCAATTAAGACACTCGGTTCATAAATTTAAATTTTCTTTATCTAAATGTTCACAAGCTGAATATTATGTCCATAAGTACATGCTCTCACAAAATAACTAAAAATACCCACAAATATATATACCTTGGTACACCTCAAACTCATACTCATTCGAAACCCTAATATCTCCTCCATCTCTCTTTCTTTTTATTTTTTAGCTCCTCGACCTTGACCTCGACCTCTATCTTCATCACCATCACCATCACCATCACCATCACCATCCCTCACCTTTTTGCCTTCACCCCTTGTTGGATTAATCTTCTGTGTAAATAAAATAAATTGAAACTAAATCAAACAAAATAAATAAATAACGTACCGAATTTATTTATCGAACCGAATTAAAATTAAAAGACCAAGTCGAGTGTGTGGCACTCTGTCCTTAAGACAGATTCGCCCCGCTACGGTACTCACGGTTGAGTGGCGTCTATCTCTCAGGATACAATGATCTTCACAAATTTGTAGAAGCACTTCAAACAAATTTGTTCGGTGAACCAAACCTGTGTTCTATACTCTCTTTATTTTTTTCTAAAAATATATATGAAGAATAAATGCACTAGAGCAAAATGGACAGCAATGAGACAATTTCCAGATTGATTTTCGGATCGCGAGATTGCTGGGACATATCTGTATATATAGACTTGAACAGGTGCTTCATTTGAAATGAACAGATATGGATTTCAAAAGAACAGGTGCAACAGATAACTGAATCTGTCTACAATCTGTAACTGCTGGACAGTTTGAAACCTGTCCAGATTTGAACCTGTAACTGCTTGGGTAGTTTGAAATGAATCTGTCCGAAATTCTGTATGGAATTTGAACTGTAGGAGGCACAAATTTTGGACTAAAATTTGAATTCAAATTCAAATTATAAAATGCAAAATTTTAATTAATTTTTTTTTCCCGCAAGAAATTTGGAAAAAAAAAAAAAATTAATGTTAGAACCGACCCGACCCACAACCCACACCCAGACGGACGGCGGCTGCGGCGGCGGCGCGCGTGTGGTGGTTTGGGCTAAGGTTCACTTTGTCCATAACTCCTCCTTTGTACAAACTTGGGGTGCCTCTTGGGGCCCAACCCAAGTGTTGTAGGCTAGAGCTTATATACACAAATAAACTCTCTTAAAGTTTCAATGTGGGACAAGCCTCATAAGGAAACCACATTTAAAACTTAAATGTTCTATTTCACGAACCCGAAAATGACGTCATGTTCCCATTCACTCCTAAATGGTTTTGACGAACCATCTTCACCGTGTGACTTGCCACGCGGCAAGGAACACTTCACCTCTTCGGACCCACCGCAAAAGACGTTCGGGGCCCACTCAATTTTGGGCTTAAGGTCGGCTCAAAATAAGCCTAATAAACCAAATTTTCCAACAATCCCCCACATGAATGGAATTTGACGGAGAGAAAATGTAACAACATGATCTAATTACAGAGAGTACAGAAATTAGAAATATTCTGCAAAGGATAGGTAGCTTTTGGCTTTGAACCTTCCCTTGTGAGACACTATCGGATTTACTAGCTAACCAATGAACATGATGTCTTGAACTGTTCAGCCGTTTGTGTAAACCAAGATAATAGAACCCACACAGTATAACCCCATACACAGTTTAGTTCTCACTATTGTGTTCATTTTGGCCCTGAACAACCTGGTCTTTCATGAGTGCTCTATAGAATTGTAGCCCTTCACAAATCTCATAGAACTGGCCCAGTTCACACTCATATCGGTGATTCTTATGAAGAGTATCTTACCATACTCCACTAGGTATACCTAGATATAAGAATCATTAAATGTATTACTTAACCTAAAATGCTGCAGACATCACTATTTCATCATAGAAATGGGTAGGAGTTAGACTCCCCAGTGATCCTTCTGAGTCATTCACAACTCGATTGTCCCTTTGAACCTAGATCTTGGGATTTCTAGTCAACTAGGTTGGATTGCCATTGTGGTAACTCTTATTTAGTCCCATTCCCCTCGATGAATTCTCAACTAGCTCTCTTGCTGACCTTTTGGTTAGTGGATCCGCTATGTTGTCTTTAGACTTTACATATTCAATGGAAATAATTCCATCAGAGAGTAGTTGTCTCATGGTGTTATGTCGACGATGAATGTGTCGTGACTTACCGTTATATATATGACTCTGTACTTTACCTATTGCTGATTGACTATCGCAATGTATGCATATAGCAGGCACCGATTTTGGTCAAATTGGAATATCTTCAAGCAAGTGGCGAAGCCATTCTGCTTCTTCCCCAGCTTTGTCTAATGCTATGAATTCTGATTCCATAGGAGACCTAGCAATGCAAGTCTGTTTGGAAGATTTCCAAGATACAGTCGCTCCACCAAGAGTAAAGACATACCCACTGGTGGACTTTGAGTCTCTAGTATCCGATATCCAATTTGCATCATAGTATCCTTCAAGTACTGCTGAATATCTAGTATAATTAAGCCCAATGTTACGAGTAAATTGGAGATACCTAAGAACCCTTATAATTGCTTTCTAGTGTTCTACTCCTGGGTTACTCGTATATCTACTTAATTTACTTACTACATAAGCTATATCTGGGCGAGTGCAGTTCATCAAGTACATTAAGTTTCCAATAATTTGGGCATACTCTAATTGAGAAATACTTTCCTATACATTCTTAGAAAGATACAAATTAACATCTACAGGTGTTCTAACAAGATGATAATCATCTTTACTGAATTTGTCAAGTATTTTCTCAATGTAATGAGATTGTGACAAAGCATAACCTTCTGATGTTTTGGTAATTTTCATACCAAGAATTACATCAGCAATGCCTATGTCCTTCATGTCAAAATGTTTATTCAACATTTTCTTGGTAGTTTTAATCATATAATTATTACTACCTATGATGAGCATGTCATCTACATAAAGACATACAATGACATAACATTTGTCTATGTTTTTAATATAAACACATTTGTTACACTCATTAATTTTAAATCCATTTGACATCACTGCCTTGTCAAATTTCTCATGCCATTGCTTTGGCGCCTGTTTTAAACTATATAATGATTTAACCAATTTATACACTTTCTTTTCTTTTCCTGGAGCAGTTTTCACATCCATTTGATGAATTTCTAGATTGTATAGAGATGCAATGGCAATGAGCATTCTAATGGATGTTATTCTAGTAACTGGTGAGTATGTGTCAAAGTAATCAAGATCTTCTTTTTGTCTAAAACCATTGACCACAAGTCTTGCCTTGTATTTGTCAATTGATCCATCCGCTTTCAATTTTCTTTTGAAAATCCACTTGTACTCAAGAGGTTTACAACTTGGTGGCAAATCTACCAATTCCCAAGTGTGATTTTGCAAGATGGATTCAACTTCACTATTGATAGCTTCCTTCCATAAAGGAGCTTCAGGACTGAACATAACCTCTTTAAAAGTTAAAGGCTCATTTTCTAACAAAAATGTTAGAAAATCTGGACCAAAAGATTTTGAGGTTCTAGCACGTTTACTACGTTTAGGTCCCTCTTCCTCATTTTGGTCTAGCTCTTGCTCTTGTTCTTAATCATGTTCTTGATCCTGACTAGTAATGGCATCATGAGATCTTTCATTGTTGCTAGTTTCTTGTCCAGTCTTATTTGGAAATACATGTTCAAAGATTGATGCATTGCGAGACTCAATAATAGTATTTACATGCATTTCGGTATGTTCTGAT